ACTGCTGGTCTTGGGAAATTTGTATAACAAGCTATTTGTAAGAATCTATTGATCATACAGGCATTAAGCACATTGTACTGTGTTTTTCTCTGGAACTAGTTGTGTGCTTGAGTCTGTCATCTCTGTGCTTGCGCATGAACGTAAGCGTTGTAATTGGAGCTGCAGCTCAAAGTAAGAAAAAGCAGTTTGCTTCCTGGGGTCTGTGACTAGGGGGATAACTGTGGTCGTGTGTAGTAGGGAGAGCTGGTTTCCCCTCGTTTGTTACCTCTCTTTCCCTCTTTCTCCAAATCCTTCCTTAGCCCCAGGCTCACTGCTCAAGGTTAATTTCCCTGCTGCAGCTGTGACTCTATTCTCCTCCTTCTGCCTCCTCCTCTTCCCTCCTCCATCCACCACACACGCGGGCTTTGAGTTATGTGCCTCCTGTTCTAATGAGATAAACAACATAACTCTCACGAGGCTCTGCTCTTCCCGCTCTAAGTGGAACTCTGGGGTTGGATGCTTGGCCCTAGAAAGGCACCCTGGTGCTTGTCAGGCTAGTAAGGAGGGCAAGAAAGGGGGCAGGGTGTTCCGTGAGGGCTCTGGGGCCATATGCTTATTGACACAAGGTGGATTCAAAGCAGACATCTGAGAAAGACATGTTCTATCCTTGTTACTAAAGGACCAAAGAGCAGCATGGACTGAGTGTGGGGTGCCAGGCATTCCCTGAGGACATAGGATACAAGGATTTTTTTAATCGAAAGTCAAGTAAACACATGATGATAACTAACATTTGTACAAGACATTAGGGTTATAAAAAACATCCTCTTACATGTTAATCCCCATGACAGCCCCCTAAAGTAGATATTATTAGGATTTTATTTTACAGAGAAGCGTCAGAAATAAGTCTCTGAAAGTATAGTCATCTTTCTAAGGTGACTGTCAGTGGTGGCAGTGGAATGTGTGTGTTCTTCATCTGTTCCAGAAATGTCTTCAGTCCACCAGAGAAATGCAAATAATGAAACAGAAACAGTCTCCATTTCTACATCCAAACTACTACTTAGGCTTCTCCCAGCAGGAGAACAAGCCTCCAGCTAGAGGCTGAGTGACCTGAGGTTGCCTTAATGCCATTTGTCAGTGATGTGATTTGATCATAGTCTCTGGGAGGATTGATGGCCAGGACAAGAGTCAACAAGTTTCACTTCTTTGCACTTAGACTTTTGGAGTATGCCAGATGACTCTCTTTTCTCTCTCACCTGCTTTTGGTGAGGTTGGAAATACCAGGAAGTAACTTTGGGGCAAAAAAGGGATCCTAAGACACAGAAACAGTCATAATGGGGGAAGACTCTGGGCTCCTATCTGAGCTTACCTTCTGGGCACTGTGTTTGATGGTCTGAAACTGGCAGATGAATCTCCTGGAGCTAGGAAGAACAGGGCCAGCAGTCATTCACTTCCTGTATTTCAGAGTCTTATTCTATTCTGGCTATATTTATTAAGTATTTCTGATGTGCCAGGCACTGTTCGGTGTTGAGGACAGCAGAGATAGACACAATCTCTTCTCTTCTGGCTCTTATAAAACTGTTGAGGAAGGCAACCAATAAATAGTTACCATCACTTTGGGAGGAAAGTACAGGGAGCCTTTTGGATGTTACAAGAAATACCATTAAAATAGTTTGATGCATCAGAGAAATCATCCAAATAATATTCTTGGTCAGCCTTTGGAGAAATGTAAAAGGTCTTTACAGACTGTTGTCTGATTCCGCCATCCCATGTACGTTCTGAGTAGATTTGGCGTTGACCTTGAGCATTAGTATTTTTAAGAAGTCTTACATGTGCTTTCGGTTTTGGCCTGGCTTTAGAATCAGCAACCTAAGATGAATCTGAGTAGGGGTTTTAAGAATCAGTTGTGGGATGTGATAGTTATGGGATATGGAATAGCAAGTCAACCTTTGTCGACATCTCTGGAATCCTGAGGCACACCAGCCCCAGAGGTGGCCTGAACATCTAAAATGCACCCAGATCTATGTACTTATTCTGGGATGACTTGGAGAGAACCACATCAGAAATCTTGAGCTTAATCCCAGCAAAGGCAGCCATCCCTCAAAGAAGTCAAACTTATACTATATGAAGAAGAAATAGTGATTCCTATTTTCTTTTACTCATTTAGTTTTCTATAAATTAGCAACAGCTCTGGCCCTCAAAGCTCAGGAAGCTAACTAAGATCTTAAAGAGTCTGCTAACATGCCAATAAGCAGTATCATGATAGATGGAGAAAGGATTGAAGTTGATGATGATTTTGTGTTACTTGGATCCACAGTCAACTCTGTTGGCACCAGAAGTCAGGACATCAAAAGATGAGTTGCTTTGGTGTAATTTTACTGTCAAGGAAATCTCCAGAGTGCTAAAAAGTAACAATGTCAGTTTAGAGACTAAGGTGTGCCTGATTGTAGTCCATGGTCTTCTCAACTGCTATTACACATTTTAGAGCTGGACAATGACTAAAGATGACAGTAGAAGGATTGATGCCTTTGAATTGTGCTGGAGAAGAGTATTGAACATATCATAAACTGCCAAGAGAACGAATAGGTCTGTCCTGGAGAGGACGAAACTAGTTCATTCATTGGAGGAAGGGATTTTGAAGCTCTGTTTGACATACTTTGACAAATCACCAGGAAGGCCTAGTCCTTGGAGATGAACATCATGTTTGGAAGAGTAGAAGGTAAGCTGAGGAGAGGAAGACCCTAGATGAGATAGATTGACACAGTGACTGTGACAGTCGGGGTAAGTGTGTCAGAGATGGCTCAGGATAGTGTAAGGTTCAGGATTGTTGTTCATACGTCACTATGGATCATAGTTGACTCACTGGCACATAACAACAATAACGACAGTGTGTGACATGAAGTTATTAGCAAAGTCAAGTGTTAGATTGACTATTAATCCATTAGCTTGTTGGAGCCCGGCTGTTTTTGTTGCTGTTGTGTACTGTAGAGTCAGAACCGATCCATAGCTGACCCACCAGTAGGTTTTCGGAAGCACTTAAATTGCATGGGAGGAGATTTCCCATTTTTCTCTCACAGAGCAGCTGGTGGCCTCAAACCATGTACCTTCAGGAGTGCAGTGCAGCTTCTTGCTAGTAGGCCATCAGAGTCCTGTTGTTTGTTGTTATTGTGTACCATTGAGTCAGAACCAACCCATAGCTGATCCCATAGTGGGTTTTCAGAGGCAGTTAAATTGCATGGGAGGAGATTGTCCATTGTTCTTCCATGGAGCAGCTGGTGGATTGTAACCGCATGTCTTTGGGATTGCAGCATAGCCTACCTAGAGACTAAAAATACCAGAGATTTTACTAGATACTTTAGTCTCCATCACACTTAATGGTTTTTAAGAATTGAAGGGGACAGTGTTAGAATCCACTCCTTGTCCCTAGTCTTTCAATCTGCAGATGCAGTTATGTGATTAAAAGTGATGCTTAATGCATGATAAGACCTGCATATTTTGGGCTCTTTAAAGCCGGCCTAGTTGTTCCTTCTTTGCACTCGTAACCCAGTGAATGGATAGAGATGAATGGTAAAAATGAAAAATGAATATATAGCAATGAACTTCTGTAGATTTTCTTTGTGAAAGGGATAAAATGAAGGCAGTAGGGAGCTGTAGGATGCCAGATGAGCTTTGGTGGCCCAATGTTAAGAAGCTGTGCTGTAATCCCGGAGGCACACAGTTTGAATCCACCAGCTGCTCCAGGAAAGAGAGATAGGCAGTCTCCTTCCATGCAATTAACTGCCTCTGAAAACCCACTAGCAGGTCAGCTATGGGTCCATTACAACTCGACAGTGCACAACAACAACAACAACAACAACAGGTTCTAATATGTCCTGAACCTGTTCACTGACACTCTTGCGATACTTTCTGTACCTCACAGCTGCCAGTGGTTACATCTACCTACAGAAGAGAGACTTGTAACTTAAAAGGCAAACTGGAATATTCATTTGTTCATGATTCATTAATTTAACAAATAGTATGTTTGATCCTCCCATGTGTCAAGCACCAGATTGGCTCTGGGGATTCTGACAAGAAAAGGACATACAACTTGCTTGTCCTAACTCTTTTGGCCTGGGCTGGTTGACTTGCTTGGTTATGCTAACCACCTTATTAGTCTTCAACACCTTCCTCCTCTCTCCTACACTCTTGTTCCCTTTGTCAATAGATTATGGTTTAATGTGAAGAGTCCATATTCCTCAAAGGACTCTGCCAGCCACACTATGTGTATAGAAACCAGGAAAATGTTATCTGATAAGCAAGAAACAATTTTGGCGTGATTGGCATGAGAGATGATCATGATGGTGTGGAACTTTGATGTCAAAAGTCAAATACAAATGGTGGCTCTTATTGGGAGAGGCAGCGTGGTACAAAGCAGTGGCAGGCGGGCAGGGATATGCAGATATGCTGGTCCCCAGAGTGGGCTTGTATTCTCTCCACAGTTACTTACGAGTTCCCTTTGATTTCAGCATGCTGCCAGCAACTAATAGGGGGAAAAGCTAGTAAAGAGGGGCACAGAATTCTTGATTTGTTTTCTTGAAATATTTCTTCATTCAAGATGTCCTTAGAGTGAGCAGACTAGTGCTGTGCCTTGAAGAGAATTTGCCTAATGTGGACCACAACAAATGGCAGTAGTAGTTGGAACGCCACAGAGGTATTGCCTCTAAAGGCCCCTCTTGTGGTTGGCAGGGCCCTCTGACAGGCCCTCCATCCCCAAGCCAAGCGTGTAGGACTGGTTTGGTAAAGATGGTGAATCCTTTTGTGCTGGGCTAACCGGGACAGGCAGCAGGGTGGATTGAACAGAGGGTTCTGGGGTCAGCTGACCTCTATTCTGCTTTGGTGTCTGCCATCAACCACCTCTGTGACCTGGGTAAGTCCATTTCTCTGGGTTTCACTTTCCTCCTATTGCAAGTAAGAATTGGATGAGGTGGTTTCTAAGGCTGCTTCCAGCATGGAGCCTTTAACCTTTACATGCTTTCTGTCTACAGGCCTTGCCCCTGGCCAACTGTACACGTACCCTGCCCGCTGCTGGCGCAAGAAGAGACGATTACACCCGCCAGAGGATCCAAAGCTGAGACTGCTAGAAATCAAACCTGGTCAGTGCTTGGCTGTGTGTGATGGGGAGAGGTGGGGAGCACTGTTGTAAAGCTGATTTTTCCAAGACAGCAAGCACCACCCCTGTGGTACTCGAAGGTGTGCTGTTAGGCCTACTTTCACATGAAAGTGTCCGTGTGTCCCCCTGAGTGCCTTTCCTCTTCAGGTGTCTCCTGCTCTCAATCCTTTAAAGAGACAAGGAAAGCTGCAAGCAGCAGGTGGGAGCAGGCCCTGGTTGAATGACTTTCCTGAAGGAGCTACAGTTCAGCTGGGTCATGTGAGAACTGCCCTCAAGTAAAGGAACCTTATCTAGGATTGTGTATCCTCTCTTACTGGCTCCATTTTGCCTGGAAAGGAACCAGTTCCTTAAAAATAGAACTTACCTTGGACATGGACATGGAAGACTTTGAGTTTAAAATATCCTTCTACTGCGTAGGGGTGAAAGCACAGGGTTGCACAATTTGATGGGTGGAGGGAGGTGTTGAAGGAAATGGGAAGGATCCAGCAGGGACCTGAAAAGGCAGGGTACTGATGAGCAAGCTCCAGTGGTGATTAATTTTATAAAACATCACTCATCGAAATGATTGTATGAAACACAATGTGAGTGAAGAATAGTGTGAAACACAATGTATACGAATGGTGTAAGCAAACAAAGTGGAAAAAAAATCATGTAATTAGAAGGCTACTGTAGTGGTTACTTCAAGGACGTGGCAAATGATACAGAAATTTGATCATAATTTAAGCAAACTACCTTATAAATGAAAAAAAATAAAATGAAGGGGAAAAAATTTCCCTCTAGACGATGTGGATAGTTTTGTAACCATGCTGAGGGAATTGGTCAGTTTGTTAGTACAGTGCTGACCACATGGCCCTACAGCCACCTGGGTGGTAGTAAGGACAAGGGCTTGCTGTGGATTTAAGGGAACCACTTTCTTAGGGGCAGTTCCAGGAGCTAAAATGTGGATGGATTACCTTGGTGGGAACTTCCCTACCAAGTGACACAAATACTTAATTGAGATGTTCTTTCTCCCTATCACCATGGTGTTGGTGGTTGGGCCCTTCTTTCTCCCTTTCCACATGTTCCTGGCTGCTTTTCCTTTACAAAATTCCTGCTTCCAGTCACTTTGGGGGCTTTCACTCATAGCTCCATGGTAAAGACACCTTGATTGCTCATGTCAATCCAGATTTTGCTTGGCAATTTTGTTTGTTAAGGATGGTAGGAGCTAGATACTTCAAGGTGCTCCTTCCTGATACCTGGATGTCCTTACACAATTATAAACTACCATTTACAGACACTTCTAAGTGTCAAGGAAGGTTGGCCTAGGACCACAGAGTATGGGTTGACACATAGTCCGGCCAACCTACAATGTAAGTCATGTGTGTCACGTTAACACTTCTAGTAACCACGTTTAAAAAAGGAAACAAGTGAAAGAAATGAGAATATATTTTATTTCCTTCAGAAAAAAGGTGATAATTTTAGCATTTAATCAATATAAAAATTATTAAAGAGATACCTTGCATTTTCTTTAATTTATATATTTTTTTATGTTGTCCTTGAATTTCAGTGGGCATTTTGTACTTTTTCGCACCTCTAACCTTTGGATGAGCCACATTTCAAGTATTCAGGGCCCACAAGTGGCTAGTGCTGCCAGTATTGGTCAGCATGGTTCTGGAAACACACTTGTAGTTCTGACGAGTAACAGGGGCATCAATTGGGAGCCTATTAGGGAATCTTGGGCCTCAACCCAGACTTGCTGAGTTAGAATTTGCATTTTAACAAGCTTCCTAGGGTTTCCAAAAGCACAATAAAGTTTGAGAAACGGGGGTCTTGAAAGAGGCTACCCAATAAATAAGTGAACATGGTTCCACATAATCTTCCTTTCTGAATGGAATATAACAAATAATTATTGATGTGAGCGATTTATCTTTTGTCCTTTCCTTCTTTACTCCAACTCTATGGTATATGCAAGGATTCTGAAGCTTTGTCTGACATACTTTAAACATGTTCAAGGAGGGACCAGTCCTTGGAGAGGGACCTCATGCTTGGAAGGGTGGAGGGACAATGCATGAGAAGAAGACCCTTGATAAGATGGATTGATTCAGTGACTGAGATAGATGCGGGTAGGTGTGTCAGAGACAGTAAGAATGGCACAGGATAGAACAACGCTTATGGCTGTTTTACATAGGGTCTGTATGAGTTGCAGGGGACTTGATGGCACATAATAACATGGTCATTTGGAAGTGGCATGAATAAATGATGAGATTAACCCTGGTTTAGCCTCACTTGAACAACTTTAATCAACTCCATTTAGAACCCTCCAGTTCTAAACAGTTTCTGAGTTGGACAAGTAATTCTCCCCTTTTGAGGGGAGAATTATTCACACATCAAGCACTAGTTAGACTTGTCTACTTGTTTGAGCCTTTTGGGTATTTTTCTCATTGTGGCTTATCTGTAAAATAACCATCATGATACCTGGGGGCTTCTAGCTGGATGTTTACTTTGAACAAGCAGTGTCTAATGATATTTTTGCCTTTTTCCACTCTTTTAATAAAAACACTTAAATAATGTGATTTTAAGTAGCTAATACAGTTACATGCTTTAACATTGAAAGGATATATTACACAATATTATACAATGAACAATCAGACCTAGTCTTTTAATAGGCAGTCTGTGGTCCCATTTCTTGAAAGTTCTTTATAGTCTGTACTACAAATTATGAATTATAGTGATACCATTTTTTCTTTTTGTAAAAAATAATTGATGCAATACAAGTACCTTGTACTTTGTCTTTTAAAAATGTGCCTTAGATGTTGACAATATCAGCATCTCTTTTTTCACAATGACGCGCTATTTCATTGTGCTGTATTTTATTTAACTAGGCTGTTTGTAACTTGTTATTTCTAATTTAACCAGTAATATAATGAATATTTGTGCATGTATGAGAATATATTAGCCATAATTTTGTCATTTGAAGACTTTCATTATACATAGTTGACCCTAATCTGAAATTATTAGTCTTTATTCCTAACATTTGTAGAAAAATGATCTTAATTAAGCATACTTTTCTATCAGACTCATTGGATCTTCTTTCATAAAATTCAAAGGCTCTTTTGTACTACAAAGTGTCTTAGCCTTTATCAACTTCAACTGTTTATTTTACTGAGGTCCAGGGAGGTTAAGGGCCTTCTTTAAAGCCGTATGGTAATTTATGAGGTAGTGAATTCAAGTTGCTCAATATCCAGGTTTAAATGCTTTTTTCCCTGCTTCCTCTTCCTCCTGACAGATAGGCTGACTTAACCCAAACCAATACAAAACCCACAAACAATGTTAACAATATTTTCTTCTTAAAAAATAAATCTAAAGATTCTCCTGACTCCAGACACAGCTGCGTCCAGGGCTCACGCATTGTAATGAAAAATCTGATTTTTCTCTCTAACAATTTTTCCTACGTCAGGAGCCGTAGAGTTGGCACTCACCTCTCCAGAAGCCATGAGATTGGGAGACATATAGCACTGGAAAGTCTGCTCTCAGGGATCTCTCCAAAGTTCCGAAGAGCAATGATGTTGGTATAAAGACTAAGGTGCACTTGATTCAAGCTACAGTCTTCCCAATTACCTGCTTTATATCTGGGAGATTAAACAATGAATTAGGATGACAGAAGAAGAATGGATTCATGTGAGTTCTGGTATTGGAGAAGAGTACGAAATATCTTGAGGACTGCCAGAAGAACAAATAGATACGTCTCGGATAGAGTGCAGCTCAAGTGTTCCTTGGAGGCAAAGTGATGAAGCTTTGTACATGTTGTTAGGAAATGCTATTCCTTATAAAGAAACAATGTGCTTGGAAAGGTGGAGGGTCAGTGAAGGAGAGGAAGACTCTCAACAAGACAGACTGATTCAGAATCTGTGGCAATGGACGCAAATGTGTTGAGGACAATAAGGATGTTGTAGGATAGGACAGGGTTCAGATCTATTGTTCACAGAGTGGCTATGAGTAGTACTCGACTGACTCTACAGCACTTAACAACAACAACAACAACAACAACTCCCAGGAGCAATGGAGACCTCTTCCATCAGTAATTGTGGACCAAGAAGTTCCAGAAAAGGTGATTGTCTGACTAAGTTTATGTCCAATCCACTAATCACTGCCATACTGTGGATGGGCCACCCTGGTGGTTTTGACTTAATAAGCATCAAAATCAGTATTTGAAGCAAGCTATTGCTTACAAAACCCTTAACAAGATATTTTCCTACACATTACTGCCTTAGGTCCTCCTCATAGCTTTGGTAGGGAGGGAGGAAAGGAGCAAACATGATCTAAGCCCATTTTGTAGAGGAGAGACGCTAGCCTGGGACAGAGCCACAGAGGGTTCACTGTGTTGCTTGTATACCTCAACCAGCAGTCCCGTTATGAGTAGGACTGAGGCACATGCTAATACCTGGTTCTTCTGTTGTTAATATTTTGACTACGCTGGCTCCTAGTACTCACATCAACAGCTGGCGGTCACAGTGGACTGTGGACATGCCTTAGGCACAGACCTTAAAGACATGTGAAAAAGGGAACCCCCAGGCTGTTGATTTGTTAGCCAAGCCCCCAGCAGCACGTCCTATCTGTGCCTGCGCCTTTGAAAGGCTTCCTTAGCAGCTGCCTTAAGCATGAGACAGAGTGGTAGCACCAAGTCTCAGGTGGTCAAAGGCTGGCTGGCCATGGAGGCGGTCAAGTTTGTGTGGGAGGACGCGTACTGGAAAGGTGAGCACCAGCCTCTATGTGGATGGGGCTTTTATGGTGTAGCTCTGATTCTGGCAGACTTGGGCTCACCCACACGACAGCCCAGATGCTAAGACAAAATAATCAGATGGAGTAGGAAACTGTTCAAATGACAGAGCTCCTTCTCAGATGAACTTGTTCCCCTCTCTTTCAGGAATCCAATCTACCGCTAAGCCTACTTTACTCTTTTACTTTTGCTTGAGTAAAAATGTACAAATCATATTGGTTTTCACT